ATGCACTACTTTATACTAGCTTGGGAACCCGGCTTTGGCTAGAGACTAAGTTTTCCCTTTAAACGTCAACCAGCTTGTGTCAGAACTTAAAACCCAAGCTAAGAACATTTTCGTGGTTTAACGTGTTTCCAACTCGAAATTTCAGGCAAATCGTTCATCCCAGAGAAACCCCAGACAAACAGATTACTGCTTCTAAATATATAAAATAGTAATATTTGTTTCTGTTTGAACCCCTTGACCTATTTGCCTCAAATTTTGCTTGGGGAACTTGATATAACTACGATTATGTTCTTAGCTTGGATTTTAAATTTTAAATAGAGGGAGTTGTCTTTTATAGAGAAAGTCTAGTTTGCAGGCATTGCTGGGTTCATAAGCTATTTATATACAGATACAAATTTGATACAACATTCACAGAATATATTTGTATCACACATGAATGAGAATAAATGATAAAGATATACATAATGCAATTATTTAATAAAATTAGCTAACATTAATAAATTTATAAAACTAAATGTATTAAAAGTTGCAAACAAAAAATGGCGATGTATGAAAAAAGTCGTGATATAAATCCCGGGATCAAGTATTTTTCCGTTTTTTTTAATGTGCAAAGAATTAAATTGCACGGAGTGTATTTTTCTGAAATTATTATATCTAACTTAGCCCTTCTTGACAAATCTATTTGATGTTTCATCATTCACACGAGTTTTACCTTAATTTCGTATTTCCCAGAAACCCTCTAACCTAATGATACCTTTCTGTACTATCTCATGAAATATATTTTACAAAATTGAATTTCCTTTTCAAACCATATAATGGTTATTTTCTTTGAAATATTATTTTGTTTTTAATATTTTGAAGATTTTAAATATTTATTAAATTCCCGGACAAGAACTTGGACTGGGCACAAACCAACTTTTTCTAGCCGTTTCGTTAACGGGTAGTTCTGACTGTTTTTACAATAAAATCTCAGCTATCCTTTTGTTTAAGAGCGTAAGAACGAAACTTTGTTTACTTAACGGTATTTTCTGTTTTTTAAAAGTTACCGTTAGTTAATTAACGATCTCAATTTTACTAACGGCGTTAACTGAAAATTTTAAACAAAATAAAAACGTAATTAACCGTTTTTAAGAAAAACTCCTTATCGTTTTCGTTTTCAACTATTAATATTTTTTCAAAAACGGCAAATCCGTTTCATTGAGGATTTAAAAATTAACGGTTTTTACCGTTCATTAACGGAGTCTTCTGTTTATTTTCGAATACTTCCGTTTCGTTAACAGAACTTTGCCCAGCCCTAACAAAACTTCTTCGTTTTAATATTTATACTTACAACATAAAGATTCCATTTTTCTATTTCTTATTAAATCTCAGGGACACTTGAACATTTAGAAAGATATAACTTTTAATCACGCCATACTACTATGTACAAATAGAAAAGATTTTACGAAATTTACGATCCTCAGCTTCTGAAGACTCGAGCCTTAAAAAGANATCAGCAATCAAACAAAAAAAACTTTTACTGTTTTGATCTATCACATGCTATGTTTGCAAAAGTAATCAAAGACGACTTTACGAAAAAGATTAAAAAGAATAAAAGATATAATCAAACATAAAGGATGTCAAAAATCGAAGAATCAAAAAGAGGATTAAAAATGCCAGTTTTATGTAAAACATTACAAATGAATCTATAATTTTATAGTTCCGCCGATTACCCGCACTTGAACGATTTTTCCGGGAAACCAAATTTTCGTAATTAAAGTCGACCCACTCAACGTTGAATCTCAAAACCAAGCTAAGAACATTCCCGTGGCTCTCCCGAGTTCCCCAATCAAAACTTGAGATAAATTAATCCAGGGGTTCCTGAGTTATGGTGAGACAAATAAACAAACATACACCATAGGAGAGATTACAACTTTATTTGTAAAGATGATATGATAGGGTTTTTTTAGTCGTAAATTAATTTAAAAATGCAACAAAAAGATGTTTAATGCATAGAAAGCTCTGCTAATTTTGTATTATGAGTGTCCGTAGAGAAATTTAAAATTCGGTGATGGTGATGGACCAAACCTCTATAGAGTAAAAAAGTAGATGTTAGTTCCACATTTATTAAAAATATATTTCAGTCTGGGTTGACCCTCGTCAGTTCTTGAGATTGTTTCTTCACAAAGATTAAAAACAATTCTTTAAAATACTATCAAATGAATTCTGCAGTCCGGACAAGTGTAATCGTACTATTATGCATTTGTCTCTGCAATTACAGTTACTGGTTGGTCTATTGTACCTTGTATGAGTAGGTCCAGCACCTTATGTAGGTTGGCTCAACCTTTTTAATATGCTAAAGCTGGTTTACTTTACAGCAATTGGATACGCACAAGCTGAAAGTCTTCTAATGTTTTTTTCAGGTTTCTTTATCTGAATATTTTTCAGGTATCTGTATCTGAAAGGGTTCAGGTTTCTGTATCTGATCTTTTTCAGGTTTCTGTATCTGAATGTTTTTAATGTTTCTGTATCTGAACGTTTTTCAGGTTTCTGTATCTGAATGTTTTATAGGGTTTCTGTATCTGAATGTTTTTCAGGTTTCTGTTTCTAAATGTTTTTCAGATTTCTGTATCTGAATGTTTTTCAGGTTTCTGTATCTGAATGTTTTCAGGTTTCTGTATCTGAATGTTTTTCAGGTTTCAGTATCTGAACTCTGCCAGAAGCTAGGAACCAACCTAGATACAGGGTTGACCGCTACACAAGCCAAGGCTAACTTGGATAGAGATGGATACAATAGGTAGGATTATAATTTAAAAATAATAAACTTCTAAAGCTTTCAGATATAAGTTATCTAGAACATATTTTTCTTGAACTTTTATTATAAAAAATCCGTACTCCATCCTTTGTAATGCGCTATTTGGGCCTTTTCATACAGAAATCAGATGATTTTTTTTTAATCAAAACATAGTATTAATTATTAATTATTAATAGTTTAAAAAGATATCTAAAGAAAGTGCTCTGTAGATTGTTTACTCTCTAAATATTTCTCTATAGATAATTCTCTAATAGTTCTTTATATAGATATTTTTTTAGAAACATTTCCATTTCCTTTTTTCATCACTTGAAGCTAACACCACAGTATTTAGAGGGTTTGTCTGATTAGTCCACTTAAAAAAATTACATAAATAATTTATTAACACTTGTAATATGGAAGTGTGTATCTGATCGAATAGTTTACATAGTCAACCTCGTACGCCTCTCAGTTTTCTATTGATATAGATCTCTAGATATTAATCTGTATAGACAGCTCTCCATATTTATAGACCTCTAGATATTGATCTTTTTTCTGTTCTTCTCTTTTAGATCTACGCATTATAATCTATTGTAGACAAGGGAAAAATGCATTTTTACACATATTTCTGATCCATACTGTTCTTCAATTTGATATCTTGGCGCCAGAAATATCAAATTAAGTATAATAGAACTAGTATTTTCTTGTTTTCCAAGTAGGGTGTACTGCCATGTTATTCCACGAAGGGTTCTGTTTAGCCACAAGAAACTGGAGAGAGTTGTATAAGAACCTGACTGTTCTGAGCTCCCTTGATGCTTTCACTTAGAACCACATTAAATCGAAAGCATTAACGTGTTTCCGACGAGTTCGGATACTTAATAACAGCTAACCAGGCTTGTTATTAAGGAGTATATTTAAAGCTGCCAGTAGCAAAACCTGGATCCAGCTAGGTAATAAACTTCCATTCTCCAGGTTAATCTTTAAGAGATTTATGCAGGCCTTCAATGTTTCTTGTAGTTCCGTTTTGTTTTTTCCATCTGTGTGAAGGGGTGTAGTCCCCCCTATACACCCGGCTGGCTAAAGTTTTTCTAGCTTGCCGTTTTCTCTCACCCAATATCTCTGAATACTATCAGAAGCGCCGAGCCAGAGCCCGTGTTGCTCCTGTGAAGGCTTGATGTGTACTAAAAAAATGATTCTTTTAAAATGTTTTGATAAAATAATTTTTTCAAATAGTTCTTTTTGAATATTTTTTCAAATAGTTCTTTTTGAATATTTTTCCAAAAACAGTTTTTTTTTGCAATCCTCTTCTAAAGAAAGTTTTTTTAAATAGTTTTCTAAAAATAGTTATTTTTAAATAATATTCTAAAGATAGTTCTTTTAAAATATTTTTCTATAAATAGTTCTTTTTTAATACTTTTCTAAAGATAGTTCCCCAGAGATACTAGATAGCTTTCTACCTTCATATTTAATTTCCGGCGAAAAAGAGAAAAAAGGCATTGTATTGTATGTAGTTAGGAATGGACATTGGGCAAGGTTTCATTAAAACTTAATTTCATTAATTATTTTGCCTCGATAGGAAATCGAGAAAAGGGCCGGAAAACATAAAAAATCATTGACGAAAAAAAAGTTTTAAAAAAAATATTTCCTTCTTATAAAACATCTCCCTCTCTAGCTGTGACGGGAAATATTTAAGGATTTAGTTTTCTTGAGATCACTCTCTCCTATATCTTATCTTAACAAAACATGGTTTATATTTTTACCTCGGGTAATATTCTCAATATTCTTCATCATTCTTCCTCAATCATAGATACTTATACACAAGGAAGGGAGAAAAGAGTTCGTGTACATTTTAGTTATTAGTTCAGCGGATAGGAAATAAGCCTGGCTTTAACCTTTGCATACAATCTTTGTTTATGTTTTCAAAAAAACTGATTAATAGTAAAAAAGTACACAAACAAGGTGTGTATCCAGCTTACAGTATATATATAACTATATAACTCTATCATAGGATATTAGTTTTCTTCCCCGAAATGTATTCTACTAATCAACTTTTTCTTCAGACTAACTCCTCCAGCAAAAACTCCTGAGTGGGTCAAGTTCTGTGAGAATCTGTTTGGTGGGTTTGCTCTTCTACTTTGGCTGGGAGCAATTCTTTGCTTTCTAGCCTACTCAATCCAGGTTTAGTTTCTAGCCTACTCAATCCGGGTTTAGTTTCCTAGCCTACTCAATCCAGGTTTAGTTTCTAGCCTACTCAATCCAGGTTTAGTTTCCTAGCCTACTCAATCCAGGTTTAGTTTCTAGCCTACTGAATCCAGGTTTAGTTTCCTAGCCTACTCAATCCAGGTTTAGTTTACAATAATTCAGGTTTAGCACAAATTACAGTATATTTTATTCAATATTAATTCAAAGTATCTTTAGACGTTAAAATATGACAGACAAAAAGGTTGGATTGTGAATCTTACGAAGATTGATTCTAAGCACAGTGTGTAGTGTGTACAAAAGCTAGGTCAAGAGAAATGTTGTTACTTAATAATGTAGGATCCTAATCTCAAAATGCTTACAAGCTAGGTCAAGAGAAGTGTTGTTGCTTGATAATGTAGGATCCTAATCTCAAAATGCTTACAAGCTAGGTCAAGAGAAGTGTTGTTGCTTGATAATGTAGGATCCTAATCTCAAAATGCTTACAAGCTAGGTCAAGAGAAGTGTTGTTGCTTTATAATGTAGGATCCTAATCTCAAAATGCTTACAGGCTAGATCAAGAGAAGTGTTGTTGCTTGATAATGTAGGATCCTAATCTCAAAATGCTTACATGCTAGGTCAAGAGAAGTGTTGTTGCTTGATAACGTAGGATCCTAATCTCAAAATGCTTACATTCTAGGTCAAGAAAAGTGTCGTTGCTTGATAATGTAGGATTCTAAACTTAAAATGCTTACATTCTAGGTCAAGAGAAGTCTCGTTGCTTAATGATATAGGATCCTAATTTAAGTGTGTTGCCAAGCATCAAGAGCATAAGGAAACAATGTTGGGGATTTAAATACCATTACAAACTGTTTAACAAGGCTTTAAACGTGGCTTCATTTCGATCTTCGGTGTCCCTGCACACTTATTTTCTATCACAGGCTTCTACTTTGTTTTTAAAGATAACAGATAATAGATGGTTTCGACATCAGTAGATTTATGTGTTTATGTTTAGTATTGGTAACTGTAGATCAATGATCTAAAAGGTTCTTAAGAAAAATAAACTTGTATAAAAATAAAAATAAAAACAATTGCAACAAAAATAAAAAATAAATTTCTTTTCAGGCTTCAACCTTCGAGGAACCCCCTGATGATAATCTTTATTTGGGAATAGTGCTTACAGCAGTTGTTGTTATCACAGGTTAGCAAGGATGGGCATTGTTTTTTGAAATTTTTGGATTAAAAGGGTGTCGTTTAGAAAAAGAAAAGAACGATGAACGAACGAATTGGATCGTTCAGAAAAATGAAAAATGATAGTTTTTTTTAAAAAAAACAAGGGAAAAAAACAACAAGGAACGATTTAAAAACGATGAACGAACAAAATTAAAAAAGTATAATGTGCCCCTCTCTAATTAGTTAAAGGGACTGTACACATAATTTTCAGTAACCCTCCATTTTACATATCGGTACCTTTTCAACGTTTGTCTGGCTGAGCAAAAACGAGAAAGATAACCTTGTTTTTTACATAAAGATAATGATTTTATTTTAAAGTTACTTGAGGATTTATTCCGTAGAAGCAAAGAAGGAAGTATACAGAATTCAACACTTTTTTAAAAATAATAGTTTTCATTGTTACTCAGATGTAAAGGGTACCTTTGGAAGTTAGACATGGTGGGGGGTCACTTTAAATTATGATGAAACTAAAAAAATTCATTTAATTTGAAAAAAAAGCATAAATACAGTGATAACCAAGAGTCGACTTCGAGACTCAAGTTATGACTTTAAATAAACATGATCACAGCAATTGTGCAGTGTAAACAGACCCAGTTTACTTAATAAATGATTTAATAACTTCTACAGTTTTCTGGTTATCACTGTATTCAAATTTACATCGTTTAATGTTTTCCTTGGGTAACCTTTTGAACTGGTTAATTTCATGCTAATTAGAATTTCAATTTAGATTTTATCATTTTTAGTCATTATTATATTATACATATTACTTGTAATGATGGAATATATTCTCAACAAATTATACATATTATATGCTAATTAGAATTTCATTTTAGATTTGATCATTTTTAGTCATTATCAACATATTATACATATTACATGTAATATATTCACAAAATATTATAGATATTACATGTAATATATTCTCATTATAGTATACATATTACATGTAATATATTCTCAACATATTATAATATTACATGTAATATATTCTCAACATATTATACATATTACATGTAATATATTCTCATCATATTATACATATTACATGTAATACATTCTCACATATTACATGTAATACATTCTCAACATATTATACATTTTTCTATTTTTCTATTTCACTTTTTTTTTTAATTTTTGTACACGTCACCTTTTTAACACTTTTATACACCACCTTTTTAACATTTTAATGCACCTCTTTAATAACACTTTTACAAGCCACTTTTTCACAAAGGAAAGATAAAGGGGTATCTGTTCAAAAGAATTGAAAACACCAAAGAATGTATTGTCAGTATCTGTCAGAAAATCAAAATAAAGATGAAATATAAAAATTTTGAAATATTGAAATATGCCTTTTAGTGAAACATTGATTGACAACTTTTCAACCAAATTTTAATCCTAGGAAACATAAATTTCTTCAAACAAATTTCTTCTTAACATCCAACGTTTTCAAAATTGAATTTTAAATTCACTTCTACGTTATTTCCCTGCAACATTTATAATGTTGGCCTTTACCTTATAAAACAAAGCAAACAAGACAGTCAAAACCAGAATAAATTTGTAATTTGAATTATTTTATTAGAAAAGAAGAAGAATTTTTAATCTGTAACGGTTAAACGGACTTTACTTTTATTTTAAGTGGCCAATTCCATGCAATGCCCGACTCACAACGGTACTCTTAAAACCTGTGTCTGATCAAATATAAACGAGATATCAATATTTATAGATTTTATAACTGCTTATTTTCCATTGTGGTTTCTCTTCAAAGCTACTGCAGGGAAAATCATATGAAATATCAAAGTTAGAAACTGAACTACAAGATTTTCCACATTATCGATCAGAGTTCCAAGTGTACCTTTGTGAATCGGGTATTGCCATCCTTGCATTGAGAGTCACTTGAAGTTACAAATACAGTCCTTTTTCTGTATAGGCTGCTATATAGAAACCCATTAGCAACAAATTACAGGGTGTCCCAATAAACATGGGAATTCAGTGACGAATTCGATATCGTCTTTTTTAAAAATTCTTTGATTTAGTATAGTGATTGATACCTACTGAGCCTGAAATTTAAAAGAGTATCATTGAACGAGACTCCTGAGTTTCCTTTTTGGGGTCTTAACACTTGTGTAGATTTTGTTTTAAGAGATTCGAAAAAAATGGAAAACATAAACAAACTGAATTATATAATATTTCATAACAAAAATATTTATTTTCACAAAACTCCCTAACCCCGTTCATAAAACCCGGGTTTTAGAACTGGTTTTAATAACGATACCCTGTCTTAAGTTTTGGGCTCTGAGAAAGCTATATAATCTGTAAGAGTTTCCTCTGCTATGCTCACATTTTGTTTGTTTATGTTTTGACTGTATGGTTGTACTTAGTAAAACAAGAAAATTGCAGTATGCAAACAGAGTGAACTTGTCCGTATTCACTGTTCATCTTGCAGAGACAGTCTAAAGTCTTTTACTCTTTTCATAAAATAAACTCCAGCAGACATAATAATATTATGGCTTTTGAAACTTGGTGTTACAATGCTAATTCATAACAAAGACGATATCGAGTTCGTCACTGAATTCCCATGTTTTTTGGGACTCCTTGTATATCAAAATTGTGAAAAAGACGACTTTCATTGAAGTATTTATATTTTAGGTGTCTTTTCTTACTACCAGGAGTCAAAATCTTCTAAAATAATGGAATCCTTTGCTAACATGGTTCCTCAGTATGCTCTTTGCATCAGGGACGGAATTGTCTTCAAATATTTTAATAATCCCTCATTATTCTTTTTTTTAATCCTTTCTGAGAATTATTTTAATATTTCTCATATATTTATACGTTTTTTATCTCTAAAGACGGCCAAAGATTAAGGAACAAGGAATTAAGTCTTTGCCACAAACCAATTTTATATTCTCTATATATCTTGGAAACCTGAAGGTTTAACCCTATGGTATTTTCTTAGATCTTAGATCATTTGATCCAACAGAACACATAGTTCGAAATATCTAAGGTTTAAGACATCGGGTCTCAGAGATATATAGGTATTTAAAACTTCGAGTTTATGGCAAAGACACAATTCTCTTGGGCAAATCAGCAATAAATCTGACCATTTTATAAAAAAAAAAATCCTGAAAACCTTGTCAACTGTTTAATAGTTAAAAATATCATTTAAAGTTGGAGGAGCTCTATAGATTCAGAGAATTAGAAAGAAATCCTGGGTTGCAATAAAATGTCAAGTTTAGCTTTTTTCCTCAAAAAATGTTTTACTATTTACTTTCCTTAATATCTTGAAACACTTTTCTTTTTTACTAATCTTGTACATGTACTGTACTGTCCTATCGACAGTTTTGTTTATGAAAACATTTTATTTTGAAAATGAGGAAGTTTTCACAATTTCGTTGAACCTGTAGAGATGGGGATAAGTTGAATATCAAAGCAGAAGAGCTAACAATGGGAGATGTTATCGAGGTCAAGTTTGGGGACAGACTCCCAGCAGATATCAGGGTAGTAGAGGCCAGAGGTTTCAAGGTGGATAACTCATCTCTAACTGGAGAGTCTGAACCTCAATCCCGAGGTCCCGAGTACACCCATGAGAACCCTTTGGAGACCAAAAACCTGGCATTTTTCTCAACCAACGCGGTTGAAGGAACCTGTAAAGGAATTGTGGTTATGGTCGGAGATAACACCGTGATGGGGAGGATTGCAGGATTAGCCTCGGGACTGGATACAGGAGACACTCCAATTGCAAAGGAAATTGCGCATTTCATCCATTTAATCACTGGAGTAGCGGTATTCCTTGGAGTTACATTCTTCTTCATTGCATTTGTTCTAGGATACCATTGGTTAGACGCTGTCATCTTCCTAATTGGTATTATAGTTGCAAATGTACCAGAAGGATTACTGGCGACTGTAACTGTATGTTTAACCCTAACAGCTAAAAGAATGGCATCTAAGAACTGTTTAGTGAAGAATCTTGAAGCTGTAGAAACCCTGGGTTCCACTTCAACCATCTGCTCAGATAAAACAGGAACACTGACTCAGAACCGAATGACCGTGGCTCACATGTGGTTTGACAACAAGATCATTGAAGCAGATACAACTGAGGACCAGTCAGGAACAACTATGAACAAGGAGGCGGCAGGATGGCAAGCTCTGAAAAGAGTTGCTGCTCTCTGTAATAGAGCCGAGTTTAAGGTTGGACAAGAGAATGTTCCAATATTGAAGAGAGAAGTGAACGGAGATGCATCGGAGGCAGCACTGCTGAAATGTGTAGAACTATCAGAGGGAAAGGTTCTGGACTACAGAGCAGAGAGGAAGAAGGTCTGCGAGATTCCTTTCAATTCAACAAATAAATATCAAGTTTCTATTCATGAGTGTTCTGATGCTGATGTTCCTGGATACTTGTTAACAATGAAAGGAGCTCCTGAGAGAATACTTGATCGTTGCTCAACCATTGTTATCGATGGAGTTGAAACTGAGCTTACAGAGGAATGGAAAACATTGTTTAACGAGGCCTATATGGAGCTAGGGGGACTAGGTGAAAGAGTTTTAGGATTCTGTGATTTTAATTTGGATAAAGAAAAATTTCCTGAAGGATTTCAGTTCAATCCTGAAGAGGTTAATTTCCCCCTGGACGGATTAAGGTTTGTTGGTTTGATGTCTATGATTGACCCACCTAGAGCTGCGGTACCTGATGCCGTTACAAAATGTAGGTCGGCAGGAATAAAAGTTATCATGGTAACTGGGGACCATCCGATCACTGCTAAGGCCATCGCTAAGTCGGTTGGTATCATTTCCGAAGGAAATGAAACGGTTGAAGATATTGCTGCTCGGCTAAATATCCCAATTGCTGAAGTCAACCCCAGGGATGCTAAAGCTGCTGTAGTTCATGGTGGAGAGTTAAAAGATCTCAGTGAAGACCAGATTGATGAGATCTTGATTCATCACACAGAGATTGTATTTGCTAGAACTTCTCCTCAGCAGAAGCTGATCATAGTTGAGGGTTGTCAGAGAATGGGAGCTATTGTTGCAGTTACTGGTGATGGTGTTAATGACTCCCCTGCCCTGAAAAAGGCTGATATTGGCGTGGCTATGGGAATTGCAGGTTCTGACGTCTCTAAACAAGCTGCTGACATGATTCTTCTTGATGATAATTTTGCATCAATTGTAACAGGGGTTGAGGAGGGCAGGCTGATCTTTGACAACCTGAAAAAATCTATTGCCTACACGTTAACATCTAATATTCCTGAAATATCTCCTTTCCTTCTTTTTATATTGGCAGATATCCCACTACCCCTTGGAACAGTTACAATCCTGTGTATTGATCTGGGAACAGACATGCTACCAGCTATATCAATGGCCTATGAAGAAGCTGAATCTGATATTATGAAAAGACAGCCTAGAAATCCATTCACCGACAAATTGGTCAACGAACGCCTTATTTCCATGGCATATGGACAGATTGGCATGATTCAGGCGTCTGCCGGCTTCTTTGTATACTTTGTTATCTTAGCTGAAAATGGATTCCTACCCCAGGACTTGTTTGGAATTAGAAAACGATGGGACTCCAAATCAATCAATGATCTTGAAGACTCCTATGGCCAGGAGTGGACTTACCATGATAGAAAAGTTTTAGAATTCACTTGCCACACCGCCTTCTTTGTATCAATTGTGATTGTCCAATGGGCAGATTTGATCATCTGTAAAACAAGAAAGAACTCTGTGTTCACACAAGGAATGAAGAACATGATGCTAAACTTCGGGCTCGTATTTGAGACTGCACTGGCCGCCTTCCTCTCCTATACACCAGGGATGGACAAGGGACTACGGATGTATCCTCTCAAGCTGAACTGGTGGTTTCCAGCTCTACCCTTCTCGATCCTTATCTTTATCTACGATGAGATAAGAAAGTATTTGCTCCGACGCTACCCTGGAGGATGGGTTGAACAGGAAACCTATTATTAATTGAACAATGTTCATTTTTATGAGATTATTTCAAGAGTGCAATCAATGTCAATTTAGTACAATGACCAATAAAGAGTTTTAAAATTGACGACGTTGAAATTTTAAACACATAACTAATTATTTTTTTTGAATCGATAATTACAATTTTTTATATTATAAAGACGCTAAATGGCAAAGGAATTGAGTTTTTTTCCCTAAACATAAACTTTCTAATCTCTAAATCTCTACAAACTAATTGTGTAAACCTTTGATATTTCAAACTTACACTACTAGATTTTCCATAATCTATAGTTTGAAATATCAATGGTCTACAAAAACGGGGTTTAAAGAATATGGATAAGAAAATCTGAGTTTGTGGCAAAAACGCTTGTTTATATAAAGATGCAGTGTTTGGAATATTAAAATATTGTGTATTTAAAAATATCAAAATTTAAATAAGCATTTCGACATGAATTTTTATTTATGATAATCAAGAGCCGACAAAAAAAAAGTTTTAAAGTGTTATATTTTACTATATATATTTTGTTATGTGTATAAAGTAGAAAATATAAATGTAAGGGAAAGTATACTTCTGATGGTTTCACGTATCCTTTTTTGTCTCGGATCAAATTAACTTTAGAAATTGCTTTTATAAAAGAAAAGAAATATGTGAAAAAACTCTTGAAATATCCAAAAACAATATGAAATGAAAATACTTTTATTAAATACAAAATTGAAAAGATCCAAGTATCTTCTTGGTCGAATTGAAATAAACAGGCGCGTGGGGGT